GAAATCAACCTCAGAACTGTTAGCCACGCCCGTCAGTCAGGAACATCACTGAGTCAAGCATGGTGGTAACACTGCGTTCACCATCTAGCTGTCAACAAACTACCACTTGTGAGTCTCACATGTCAAGGAAAGGGATACAAATTTGTCTTAGAAAGCAGAGATGTCACTAATGTATCCACACTGTTGGCCCTAACCTGCCCTGGTTCTTATCGAAAGAATTAGTAAATTAGTATGTTTTTGAAATATCTATTTCTGTATATTATTTGAAAGATATGCAATGTGAATAACAGTGGGTGTGCTGCCAGCTACCAGTTATGAGTATCTAATATTGTAGCTTATTTTAGACCTACATGCTAGCAAGAATCTGAAATGATCACCCTTTCTTTCAAATAAGTAAATAAATCTTTAAAAATAAAGGGGGGTATCTGGGTGGCACAGTCGGTTAAGTGTCCAACTCTTGGTTTCAGTGCAGGTAGTGATCTAAGGGTCGTGAGATTGAGCCCTGTGTTGGGCTCTGTGCTCAGCAGGAAGTCTGCTTGAGTTTCTCTCTCCCTCTCCCTCTGTCCCTCTCCACTGCATTTGCTCTCTCTGTCAAATAAATAAATAAATCTTAAAAAAAAGAGATTCTTGTACCTCTGAAACAAATAATACATTATATGTTAAAAAAGAAGAAGAAGAAGATAGCAGGAGGGGAAGAATAAAGGGGGGAAATCGGAGGGGGAGACGAACCATGAGAGACAATGGACTCTGAGAAACAAACTGAGGGTTCTAGAGGGGATGGGGGGGGGAGATGGGTTAGCCTGGTGATGGGTATTAAAGAGGGCACATTCTGCATGGAGCACTGGGTGTTATGCACAAACAATGAATCATGGAACACTACATCAAAAACTAATGATGTAATGTACAGTGATTAACATAATAATAAAAATTTTTTAAAAATAAAAAATAAAAGAATCTGAAATGATGCTTCGTAAAGCATATTCCATCCCACAATTTAGACAGGACTACATCTCCTCCTACTTCTTACTTACTTATTTAATTTTTAAAAAAGATTTTATTTATTTATTTGACAGAGAGAGAGCACAGCACAGGATGCTGCAGGGAGAAGCAGGCTTCCTGCTGAGCAGGGAGCCCCATGCGGGGCTTGATCATAGGACCCCGGGATAATGACCTGAGCCGAAGGCAGATGCTTAACCAACTGAGCCACCCATGTGCCCCTACTCCTACCTTTTAAATACAGACAAATGAGGATTTAGGCTTTCTGATTCTTTGGCAATGCTCTATAGTTAATTGTCAGAAGCATGTCATCTTGCTGCTATATACTCACTAATCCTTTTCCAACCCAATTTTTTGGACAAAGTAGATTATTATTATTAATATAGAAGCCATTAATAGGAATTTCATTAATAAGGAACTCTGTTCATCAGGGTTGGGAAAAAGAAGGTCTAGAATGGAGGAAAAGGACTGTTGGGTTAGTCTAGAGTTTTCAATTAGAAAGATAGTGAGAATGCAGGAAGGCCATGGTAATAAGGGTTTTGGTTGGAGGGTATGAAGATGTCGACCTCAGGTCAACTCAGAATTAGGAAGAGGGGAGGAGACTGAACAAGACTTGGGGAAGAGTCAGAGGCAGGAACTTATAGTTATGCTGAAGAAATGATTTAGAGGAAGGAGTAGAGGTTGAATAACAGGAAATAATTGTAAGAAAGAATTTCAGTGAGGTATAGAGTTAGTTTTAGTTTAATCTGTGGATTGAGTCCAATTGCTTTCATGATTATATTTTACAATCTGGTATGGAAGCATTATGTCATATTTATCTTTTAATTACACATATATTCTACTAGGTAATGTATCTTTAATATTGTTCACAGAATTATTACTAGAGGCTAAAGAACTTTCAAAGGAAGTGCACATACTTTTTTATATTTTCACTTTTTTCCTATTATTGAATACCTTTATAACTCAGAAATTCCCTCTTTTCTATAATTTGTTTCATGATAGAGAAGGCATACTTTATAAATTTTCCCCTTTCACCATATTATGGTTCTCCTAAACTATTGATGTTTATAACATTTTTTAAAACATTTTTATTTTTATTTGAGAGAGAGAGGGAGGCAGAGGGACAGTGAAAGAAAAGAATCCCAAGCAGAATCCCCGCTGAGCGTGGAGCCCTACAGGGGTCTCCATCTCATGAGGACTTAATTTGTAACATTGATGCTCATGGAATTTTTTTTAAATGATTAGTACATACAAAGAATGGTTAATGATCTTCTAAATTTATAATGGCAGATCTTATGTAAATCATGGCTCAAACACAAATAGCATATTTTTAAATAACATACTTGATCTTGTGCATGTGTATGAGAGTCTGTTATTCATTTCTTTCTGTGAATACTCAAAGCAAAATATGAAGTATTAGAAAATGATAACAATACAACACAAAAGAAATACAACAAAAAGAAACAACATGAAGCCCAGTTTCAAAGAACAGAGGAAAAATCCAAGCTCTTCTAAGAATAACTTGAGTAACATTGGGCAGTGATTCAATGTGCTTGAGACGCATTTTTCCTAACCTTTAAACAGGAAGGATTCTGTCAAAGATACTTACCTCAAAGTTAACTGCATACTATAAATCTCAGAAAAATGTTTTTTTAAAAGACATAATAACTTGTGAATCGGCTTCTAGAAAGAAAGGGTAAGAGTATCCTTATGCATAATTTTTAACACCACCATTATTAAATATTGCTTTATTCTATGAAATGTGCATACTTTAGGGAAAAGGGCTCCTTTAGGGAGATGCGAAGTGTGTACCACTAAAAGCTCAAAATCATACTCAGTTCTTACACATGTTGTATTTGTTAATGGTAATAAATGTTTAAGATGTTCAAGAACAGAGAAGTAAAAATATAGATCAAATTTAAAAGCTATTTTAAATCTTACTTAAATTGCACAATTTAAATTCTAATATAAAAGATGTTTGATAATGTTGAGTACCCATGAAATATCTAAGAAAGTTCCTTTTTTCTAAACTTCTAAATATATTCCTATATCTAGATAAAAGTTTAATAACTTTTTGACTTATTTACATGAGAACATTGATTCTAAGTCTGCCTGGAGTACATTGGGTTAGGAGTGTGAAAAGTAGAATTCTTTAGGATTTGCTACTGGCTTTTTAAAAATGTCAGTTTCACATTTTGACAATATGTAGACTATCTTTCTCATTCCTTCCTTCTAAAATTCTCTTCCCCTTTATCTAGCATATGTGATTCGTAAACACAGGTAGCATATTATTGGAATTAGAATGAAAGGTTCTGAGTCAGGCTGCCTGCATTTAAATCTCATTTCTACCATTTACTGACTAGCAGACTTTGGGAATGTAGCTCAAAATTTCTGTTTCAGTTTCCTCATCTGAAAGGAAGGGAAATTAACAGTAGTTTCTTCCTCATTAGTTTGCATTTAATCATGAAAAGAAATGATCAACATTATATATAAATGTGTGTGTGTGTGTGTATATATATGTGGTACAGTTTGCAAGTTTAGCAGAGGGTTATATCAATACCTTGTAAGATTTTAACATTATCCATTAAAGGCATACAGAAAATAAAATAGGTGTGATATGGTTTTCTTTAGTCCTGAGCAAGAACTGTTTGTCAAATAAGACAAACTAACAGTTCCTTCCCTTCAAAACCAAAAGTCATTTCTTGGTCACTCAATGGAGTTTTTGACATTAACCATTTCAGATATAGTGTATAGTAGCAAGACTCACCAATTAGCTAAGTAGTCAAAACAGATATGTTTCCCTGCTAAGTAGTTAGAACTGTACTAGATTCTGACTTTCTGAATACACACAGAAGTATAGAGCATGATTTCTGTTCTAATGAACTAAACATTTAGCTGAGCAAAGAAGGCACATATGGGAAAAATATATGATGGAGTATGTATTAATATTGGAACAAGCGTCTGAATCCAAAACAAATTATGGTTCCATAAATTAGCTTAGTTTAGAGTTTGGTTTAGAAAGAATGAATGATGTTTGAATAGGTAGCAAGGGGACATTCTAAGAAGAAGGAAATGTAAAAAGGTTGAGTGTGTGTAGGAGGGGGCATTTGGATCAGATGTGAGAGGTCATGATGAACCCTAAATCCCCACTTCTTTGTGGTCAGTAAATGACAGAAATTTTGCATATTTCGCTTTGAATCTCAGGAGCAAATGGCCCAGTAATCATTAAACAGTTGATGGAAACACCTGATCTTTGTTACCCAATTCAATTTTACGTTGCTAAATGTGTGATTTTAACTGAAATATTTAATTATATATGACTTTTCTTTGAGCTTCGCTTATCTGGTCAATAGTCAGCTATTGATTTGCAGATTTTCTATCCTGATATAGTAAAGGTTTTTGATATACATTGTTTATTATATTTATGGCCTCAAATACTTTATGTTTAGTGTTATGCTGTTATTTTGAAAGTTGTTAACTGTTCTAGAGTACAACAGTCACTTGAATGTGGTATAAGAGTTCTATATCTAATAACCATAATTTGATAGATGGTGTTTTCTGAATCTATGAGAAAACATATCTGAATAAAAAAAGTTGTGAGTGGCTTACTTTCTTATGCAACACAAAAGAGAAAAAAATAGATTTAGACATCATATATAGAAATAAATAATATGTTTTAATAAGGTAAACTGCCATTTAAAAAAAGAAAATGGATTTATGGTTAATCAAATTTTTATCCTATAGCATGAATTTTTATATCAGAGAAAAATTTAAAAATTGTATTCATTCTTTAAATGTCATGGGTTATAGTACTTTATATCAAGGAAACCCTTCTGATGGTATTATTTCTGAGCATTAATTAGTTTCATTAATCTTTAAGATGTCTTTTACTATGCTCCTTTTTTTTATCTCATCAGGTGACTTAGATTTATCTCACCAGCATCAAATAGCTACCAAAAAATGTGAATTCAAAATGTGTTTCCCCCTTTATTTTTTCCTTTTAGGGAAATCCTGAGGGGTTTGACACTTTTCATCCTCCAGCCATTAATCATCTTGTAGGGAAAGGCTATACACTGGTAAGTCTCACTCATTCTAATTGCTCTTTTTAAAGGCTTGATTGTAATACAAAACAAGGAAGATTAAAGACATGCTAACATCATTGCTTGGCTAAGTAGAAAATACTTTTTTTTTCAAACAAAATTTGTAACATCAGAATTTTGCTTTGTTTTTAATTAATCTACTAATAGGAGTACTACCAAAAACTATAGTTGTAAAATTAAAATTATGTGGAGAATGGAAACTAGTACTTTTATTAAATTCTAAAATAGTGGTGATATTACTTATAGATAATTTTTATTTTTTTTATTTTTTAAAAATATTATATTGGGGCGCCTGGGTGGCTCAGTTGGTTAAGCGACTGCCTTCAGCTCAGGTCATGATCCTGGAGTCCCGGGATCGAGTCCCGCATCGGGCTCCCTGCTCGGCGGGGAGTCTGCTTCTCCCTCTGACCCTCCTCCCTCTCATGCTCTCTGTCTCTCATTCTCTCTGTCTCAAATAAATAAATAAAAAATCTTAAAAAAAAAAATTAAAAAAAAAAATAAAAATATTATATTTATTTCTTAAAGAGAGTGGGCACAAGCGGGGGAGGGAGGGGCAGAGGGAGAGGGAGAAGCAGACTCCCTGCTGAGCAGGGAGCTCAACACTGGGCTGAATCCCAGGACCAGAGATCATAACTTGAGCCAAAGACAGACGCTTAACCGACTGAGCCACCCAGGTGCCCTTATAGATAATTTTTAAAGATATTTTATTAACTGACACCATGGCCCACAAGCACTCATTGAATGAGAATCCATGAATAAGTCTGAGGCTGCAGTCAAATAAAAGATAATAAGTTCTAAAAATAAAAAAAAAAATTCTGTCAATTTTGGTAATACGTAATATTTATTTTGCATGTTGAAATTCAATTGTAAAGTTAAATAATTCTTAGGTAGTTTATGCCATAAAACCAAATACATGCTTTTTTTGCTTCAATTTATTATTCTTCTTCTCTATATAAGTGGCATTAATGTATCCTGGTTTCTTGTTTCTGAACAACCCTCCCCTCAACTATCCTATCAAGCTTTTTCTTTCTTTATCTTACACACACACACGCACACTCATGCCTTAAAATATCCTTTGTATTTTATATGTTATACTTAAGTTTGAATTTATGTGTTATATTTAGGTCACAATTAATTAATTTGAATTTTTCTACAGTTTTTGAAGTTTTTCTCATGCTCTCACATGCTTTGGAGCTATGATCTTCAAATATTTTCGATGGAACAGTCCATCAGTTAAAAATGTTAAATATACACTCCAATATATGCACATTATTTATAAATTACATAATTTATCACTATCATTATAAACAATAGTAAAAATATGAAATGCTCGCAAAAGAAATTTTAAAAGATGTGACAATGTATATATTCTCTCTGTGTATATAGTCTTTCTCTATATATATTCTAGTGGAACTTTGGGAAACCTAGTTCTAGAAATCCTCTGCTTTTTTCTATTCCCATATAATCTCAGAAGTTGTATTGGGTATTCAAAGGCTCTAACAAACCTCATTTTAAGCATTAGATTGAATAGATATGGGGTATACTGCAAGTCAGTGAGTGTGTTTATACATTTATGCACCCAAACGTGTGTATGCATGGTGATGCTGTAGATAGGATTGGCTGGATCAAGAGTTCAAAGTGGCTTAGAGTCATATCCAATGATCTGATCTGAATATTCCTCTTCTGGAAAGGTTAGGGAATGAAATAATTCAGAGGGGCTGTTATAGAGGAAAAAAGAACCAAATAAATAGGAAGGTGACATATGGAATACCTCCAAAGATATCTTGTCAAGTTGATATTTCAGCAGAAATAGATTCACACCATTTATTGTCACTGTCTGATAGAATTCCTTAGTCATGCATACGCTTGCCAATTTTTTTTTTCCCAATAGAGTCCTCAGTGGTGAGTCACCAGATATTATACTATGAAGATATGAGGGGAAGATTAAATGGTTAGAGTGAAAATCATTTAACCCATATTGTTTCTGCATGTGTGAACCAAAAACCCCATAGGAGTTGTTTTTCACAATGTACCAGGTAACTTCCTTTGACTGTTGCATTTAAATCAAGAGCTTCCCACCCCTATCCCTTACCATAGGAGCTCATATTTAACTTGAGTCAAGCCTCCATTCAAATCTGAAGCCAGGCAGGGAAGAGGTGAGATATTCAATGACAGATTCAGGATTTATCAGACTAGCTAGCTTTCATTAAATCTTTAATATAAAAGCCTTCATAATTGCTGATTCCATTTATTTGAGCCCTCTTCTAATTTAAAAGCCTAACACTGTTGAACCGGTTAAGGAATCCATTTAAATGCTGTTATCCAGGAACCAATTCTCTACCTCTTATCTTTGAAAATTTCATGCCAAATATCATGCTGAAATACAGATGTATTGTGTCTACATCATTCCTTTAATGTACTGGTTTAGTAAACTCTCATAAAAAAATAAGAAATAAGATGAGGCTTATCTCACACAACTCAGTAAATCCCTAATGACTTATTAATTATGGCTTTCTTCACAGGACTCCCATTTGATAGATAATTCCTTTATTTTTTTTAAAGATTTTATTTATTTATTTGACAGAGAGAGACACAGCGAGAGAGGGAACACAAGCAGGGG